TTATTATTATTATTATATTATTTATTATATTATTATTATATATATATTATTTATTATTATTATTATATTATTATATTATATATTATTATTATATATTATTCTTATTATATTATTTTATTATTATTATTATTAATTATTATTATTATTATTATTATATTATTATTATTATTATATTATTATTATAATTTTTATATTATTATTATTATTTATTTTATATTATATTATTATATATTTTATAGCCGTAGGGCTTTGTTACTCCCGTTAATCGGGGTGTTCTGGCTTAACCCGGACGCTTCAAGCATCAAAGGGGTAAGCCTCAATAGTGACCTCCCTAGGTACTTGCATTTCCCATAAATTTTCTTACTATGCGGGCAGTTGCCAGCAAAACTCCTTTCTGTATGATTTTGTAAATGTTTTCACTCAGTTCCAGCGCTTTGATGTTTTCTAGCAGCCTTCTTGGTATCACCCCTGTAGATGACATTATTATTGGTATTGTTTCCACGTACTTCATTTTCCACTGGCGTTTAATTTGAAATTCTAGCTCCCTGTATTTTGCAACTTTCTCATTATGTTTGTATGTTAAATTGTTACTATTAGGTATGGCCACATCAATCAGTGTTACTTTCTGGGCGTCCTTGTCGACAATGATTATGTCAGGTCTGTTTTGTTTTATGTATTGGTCCGTAAGCACAGTGCGATCCCAGTATAGTTTATACTTGTCGTTCTCGAGGACACATTGCGGTGTATATTTGTAGTACTGTAGCTTGCATTCGATCAGTTTGAATTTGTATGCCAACTCCTGGTGAATGATTTTGGCAGCTATGTCGTGGCGCTCCTTATAGTCCGTTGGAGCGAATGCTTGGCATCCACCAGTTACGTGCTGTATTGTTTCGGAGTCCTGACAGCCGTACCTGCATTTATCAGACTGTTGCAAGTTCTTAAGTATGAACCTCTTGTAATTGTTGGTAGGAATGACCTGGTCCTGTATAGCTACAAGGAATCCCTCAGTCTCAGGGAACATTTGGCCTGAGGTAAGCCAATAGTTTGACGCTTTCTTGTCAACGTTTTCTTGGCTAATCTCGTTGGCATGTCTCCCATGTAGAGGTTTTTCAATCCATCGTTGTAGCTTCTGTTCGTTGGTTTGGTGACTCGGTTGGTCATCTCGTCTACTAAGGTGTAAGGGCGTTGTGTCATCTATTGAGCATATGATGCGATGCAGCTCAGAGATCTCGGCCTTCTCAAAGAAGTAGGATCGCAAGGCGAGTACCTGTTGAGCTAGCTGCTTGCTGATGTCCATTAGACCTCTTCCTCCTAACTGTCGGGGTAAGGTTGTGCGCTCTATTGCACTGCGAGGATGGTGCGCTCCTTTTTTTGTTAGCATAGTCCTTACCCGCCTCTCTAGTTTCTCGATGTCAGTTTTACTCCACAGAACTATACCGAACGAGTAGTTCAAGGCAGAGCATGCGTAGGTGTTAATCGCCTTGACTAGATTCTTACTATTGAGTTCTGTTTTCAGAAGTAGCCGTATTCTTTTTGTGAAGGTCTGCGATATAGCTTCCTTCATTTTTTTATGGTCTATCCTTCGGGCCTGCGCCATTCCAAGGTACTTGTATGTGTCATTTGCGTCCATTGCGTCAATGTTTTGGCCTCTGCAGCTTGAAAATCCTCCAGGGTAGATGTTCCCCCTACGTATAGATAAGGTTTTGCATTTATCCATCCCAAATCGCATACTTATGTCATCTGAGAACTGACCGACTATCTCTAGCAGCTGTTTCATTTGATTCTCAGTAGCAGCTATTACCTTTAGGTCGTCCATATACAGCAAGTGGTTCAGTTTTATGGATGCGTTCCTGTTATCTTTCAGACTATATCCATACCCTGTTGCATTTAAGAGGTTTGAGAGGGGATTTATAGCTAGGCAAAACCATAGGGGACTTAATGAATCACCCTGAAAGAGACCTCTTCGGATAGAGATCGTCTCAGTTTGAATGGTGCTGGTCCCGTTTGTATGCAGTGTTATTCTGGTTCTCCAGGTCTTCAGCATATGTTCTAATAGGGCCACTACATGCTCATCTACCTTATAGAGCCTCAGCACCCTGACAAGCCACTCATGAGGTACAGAATCGTATGCCTTCTGATAGTCGATGTACGTAATGTATAGGTTCCTTTTGTTGGTATAGGCTTGGTTACAGATGACTGAATCGATAGCCAGCTGTTCTTTGCATCCCATAGCTCCCTTAGCACAGCCTTTTTGTTGTGGCGCAATAATATCGTTTTCTTCACAATGAGCATAAATTCGCTTCGATATACAAGCAGTGACCACCTTGTATAGCGTAGGAAGGCAGGTAATTGGGCGGTATTTTGCTGGGTCTTCTGTATTATTGTGATCTTTTGGTATTAATACCGTTAGCCCTTGTGTTAGGAACGTTGGAGTCTTATTTGGATTCAAAAGCATGTCATTGATATATCTTGTTAGTTGTTCATGCATGCACCAAAGCTTCTTTATCCAGTAGCCATGAATCTGGTCTGGGCCCGGGGCCTTCCAATTATGCAACTGCTTAACGATATCCACGATTTCTTGTTTGGTATATGCCCTATACTGCATGGGATTGCAATAATGGCTCTTCGCTTCTTCATCTGTAATCCATCCTGCACACTTGTTGTAATAAGCTGTCGAGCCAAACTGCTTGCCCCAAAATTCCTCTACTTGGTCCTTTGTGGGCACCGTTTTGCTCTTTTCCTGGGGTTCGGATGACAGTTTCCTGTAGAATGCCTTTTCGGATCGTTGAAAGAGCGCATTGTCGTGCTTTCTGTGACTGGACGCTTTATACCTTTTCAATCGCTGAGTATATACGGACAGTTTTTGCTTCAAGGTATCAAGGCATTGCCACTCGTTGATGTTAGTTGCGTCTTGGTGAGAATGATGGTGGAGTCGTTGCATTATTTCCATAGCTTGCTTTCGGACTTTTCGAGTTGTTATTCCTCGTGTGAATTGGGTAAGACGTCCGATATCTCTGCGAATTTCTGCCGTTCTTCTTTCCAGACGTTTTTCCCATTTTGGTGTTATTGGTTTTACTGAATTTTCAGTAATCTTTTGAGTTGGCATTTTGACACCAAGTGTTCTTACTGTTGCAACAGCTGCACAGTATATCAGTGTGTGAAGTTGTTCTATACAGTTGGAGTGTGCTAGATACTCTGGCAGGATCTGTTTATTTAACTGACACAATACCACAGCAAGCTTTCTAGATGACTTCAACTTTGGTAATGGTGGTCTTTCTAGCGGGTTCGTTCCATCAAATTCGGCATATGCTCTACCCATTTCAGTTATTAATATACCAAATATTTCTGTGTCTTGATCATTACTGTCGTCAACTCCAGGCTGTTCACTTTCTATCTGTTCTTGCTCAGATTATTATTATAATTATTGTTATTATATTATTATTATTATTATATTATTAGCATTATAATTATTATATATTATTATACAATTATCAATTATTATTATTATTATTATTAATTATAATTATTATTAAATTATTATTATTTTATCAATTATATTATTATTATTATTATTATTATATTATTATTTTTATTTTTTTAATTATTATTTTATTATTTATTATTTATTATTATTATATTTTTTATAGCCGTAGGGCTTTGTTACTCCCGTTAATCGGGGTGTTCTGGCTTAACCCGGACGCTTCAAGCATCAAAGGGGTAAGCCTCAATAGTGACCTCCCTAGGTACTTGCATTTCCCATAAATTTTCTTACTATGCGGGCAGTTGCCAGCAAAACTCCTTTCTGTATGATTTTGTAAATGTTTTCACTCAGTTCCAGCGCTTTGATGTTTTCTAGCAGCCTTCTTGGTATCACCCCTGTAGATGACATTATTATTGGTATTGTTTCCACGTACTTCATTTTCCACTGGCGTTTAATTTGAAATTCTAGCTCCCTGTATTTTGCAACTTTCTCATTATGTTTGTATGTTAAATTGTTACTATTAGGTATGGCCACATCAATCAGTGTTACTTTCTGGGCGTCCTTGTCGACAATGATTATGTCAGGTCTGTTTTGTTTTATGTATTGGTCCGTAAGCACAGTGCGATCCCAGTATAGTTTATACTTGTCGTTCTCGAGGACACATTGCGGTGTATATTTGTAGTACTGTAGCTTGCATTCGATCAGTTTGAATTTGTATGCCAACTCCTGGTGAATGATTTTGGCAGCTATGTCGTGGCGCTCCTTATAGTCCGTTGGAGCGAATGCTTGGCATCCACCAGTTACGTGCTGTATTGTTTCGGAGTCCTGACAGCCGTACCTGCATTTATCAGACTGTTGCAAGTTCTTAAGTATGAACCTCTTGTAATTGTTGGTAGGAATGACCTGGTCCTGTATAGCTACAAGGAATCCCTCAGTCTCAGGGAACATTTGGCCTGAGGTAAGCCAATAGTTTGACGCTTTCTTGTCAACGTTTTCTTGGCTAATCTCGTTGGCATGTCTCCCATGTAGAGGTTTTTCAATCCATCGTTGTAGCTTCTGTTCGTTGGTTTGGTGACTCGGTTGGTCATCTCGTCTACTAAGGTGTAAGGGCGTTGTGTCATCTATTGAGCATATGATGCGATGCAGCTCAGAGATCTCGGCCTTCTCAAAGAAGTAGGATCGCAAGGCGAGTACCTGTTGAGCTAGCTGCTTGCTGATGTCCATTAGACCTCTTCCTCCTAACTGTCGGGGTAAGGTTGTGCGCTCTATTGCACTGCGAGGATGGTGCGCTCCTTTTTTTGTTAGCATAGTCCTTACCCGCCTCTCTAGTTTCTCGATGTCAGTTTTACTCCACAGAACTATACCGAACGAGTAGTTCAAGGCAGAGCATGCGTAGGTGTTAATCGCCTTGACTAGATTCTTACTATTGAGTTCTGTTTTCAGAAGTAGCCGTATTCTTTTTGTGAAGGTCTGCGATATAGCTTCCTTCATTTTTTTATGGTCTATCCTTCGGGCCTGCGCCATTCCAAGGTACTTGTATGTGTCATTTGCGTCCATTGCGTCAATGTTTTGGCCTCTGCAGCTTGAAAATCCTCCAGGGTAGATGTTCCCCCTACGTATAGATAAGGTTTTGCATTTATCCATCCCAAATCGCATACTTATGTCATCTGAGAACTGACCGACTATCTCTAGCAGCTGTTTCATTTGATTCTCAGTAGCAGCTATTACCTTTAGGTCGTCCATATACAGCAAGTGGTTCAGTTTTATGGATGCGTTCCTGTTATCTTTCAGACTATATCCATACCCTGTTGCATTTAAGAGGTTTGAGAGGGGATTTATAGCTAGGCAAAACCATAGGGGACTTAATGAATCACCCTGAAAGAGACCTCTTCGGATAGAGATCGTCTCAGTTTGAATGGTGCTGGTCCCGTTTGTATGCAGTGTTATTCTGGTTCTCCAGGTCTTCAGCATATGTTCTAATAGGGCCACTACATGCTCATCTACCTTATAGAGCCTCAGCACCCTGACAAGCCACTCATGAGGTACAGAATCGTATGCCTTCTGATAGTCGATGTACGTAATGTATAGGTTCCTTTTGTTGGTATAGGCTTGGTTACAGATGACTGAATCGATAGCCAGCTGTTCTTTGCATCCCATAGCTCCCTTAGCACAGCCTTTTTGTTGTGGCGCAATAATATCGTTTTCTTCACAATGAGCATAAATTCGCTTCGATATACAAGCAGTGACCACCTTGTATAGCGTAGGAAGGCAGGTAATTGGGCGGTATTTTGCTGGGTCTTCTGTATTATTGTGATCTTTTGGTATTAATACCGTTAGCCCTTGTGTTAGGAACGTTGGAGTCTTATTTGGATTCAAAAGCATGTCATTGATATATCTTGTTAGTTGTTCATGCATGCACCAAAGCTTCTTTATCCAGTAGCCATGAATCTGGTCTGGGCCCGGGGCCTTCCAATTATGCAACTGCTTAACGATATCCACGATTTCTTGTTTGGTATATGCCCTATACTGCATGGGATTGCAATAATGGCTCTTCGCTTCTTCATCTGTAATCCATCCTGCACACTTGTTGTAATAAGCTGTCGAGCCAAACTGCTTGCCCCAAAATTCCTCTACTTGGTCCTTTGTGGGCACCGTTTTGCTCTTTTCCTGGGGTTCGGATGACAGTTTCCTGTAGAATGCCTTTTCGGATCGTTGAAAGAGCGCATTGTCGTGCTTTCTGTGACTGGACGCTTTATACCTTTTCAATCGCTGAGTATATACGGACAGTTTTTGCTTCAAGGTATCAAGGCATTGCCACTCGTTGATGTTAGTTGCGTCTTGGTGAGAATGATGGTGGAGTCGTTGCATTATTTCCATAGCTTGCTTTCGGACTTTTCGAGTTGTTATTCCTCGTGTGAATTGGGTAAGACGTCCAATATCTCTGCGAATTTCTGCCGTTCTTCTTTCCAGACGTTTTTCCCATTTTGGTGTTATTGGTTTTACTGAATTTTCAGTAATCTTTTGAGTTGGCATTTTGACACCAAGTGTTCTTACTGTTGCAACAGCTGCACAGTATATCAGTGTGTGAAGTTGTTCTATACAGTTGGAGTGTGCTAGATACTCTGGCAGGATCTGTTTATTTAACTGACACAATACCACAGCAAGCTTTCTAGATGACTTCAACTTTGGTAATGGTGGTCTCTCTAGCGGGTTCGTTCCATCAAATTCGGCATATGCTCTACCCATTTCAGTTATTAATATACCAAATATTTCTGTGTCTTGATCATTACTGTCGTCAACTCCAGGCTGTTCACTTTCTATCTGTTCTTGCTCAGATTGACCATTATCGCGTATTTCGTTATTACTCCCTTCTTGTTGCATAAGATCAAGCTGCACTTCCTGTTTGATGGCATTCAGCCGTGGTTGTGGGATAAGATTATTTTTTGATCACTCGATATTGGTCTGCCACTCTCTGCTGAGATACTTTGATCTCCGGATATTCACTACAGAAAGCGGTATGAAGTCGTGGTCTGTAGCCGATTGTTTCTCTACCTAGGTTGGTAACTTTGTAGAAGATTCGCATGATTGACTCATTCATGGACACCGTCCACTTTATACGTCTTCTAGGGAGACCTGCTTGAGTGAGCACTGGCTGAGATTCCTGTGCAGCACTTTCGGCAGCGGTGGCACTAGTTGTTGTTTGGCTACCACTTTGTTGGGGGGCTGTTGCTTCTTGGACGACAGGGGCCCGCCTCCTCAGCACCCTGC